ATCAGAGTTGGAAGGGACCTTATAGGTCATCTAGTCTAAGCCCCCCCCACCCAAGCGGGAGACCCTACACCATTTCTAACGAATGGCAGTCCAATCTCTTCTGGAAAGTCTCAAGTGATGGCGCTCCCACAACTTCTGAAAGCAAAGCTGTTCCATTGGTTGGTTGTTCTCACTGTAAGAAAGTTTCTCCTTATTCCCAGGTTAAATCTCTCCTTGTTCAGTTTCCATCCATTATTCCTTGTCTGGCCTACGGGAGCTTTAGAAAATAGCTTGACCCCTTCCTCTCTGGGGCAGCCCCTCTCAGTCCAACCCACCTCGCAGGGAGGTTGTTATGGGGGAAAAGAGGAGGGAAGCAGATGTATGCCGCCTTGAGTTGCACAAGATAAATGTGAGTTATAACTCTAGTAAAAATCACTACATTTTATTTCAGGGGTCTCCAAAGTTGGCCACTTTAAGACTTGTGGTTAAGACAGCTGGCTGGAGAATTCTGGGAATTGAAGTCCACAAGTCTTAAAGTGGCCAAGTTTGGAGACCTCTGCTTTATTTGAACTCCACCTCTAAATAACTGATCAGGGTCCCCAGAAAGATTTGAAGGGGGTGCACAAGCGAAGCCTTTCCGCTATCCTCCGGCATTTCTGCTCCCCTCGGATGCGTAGGGGGGCTCGACCCCTCCCCAAATAGCCCTACGGATTATCCTGGAAGGCGATCAGGGCAAGCCTCGTCTGCCCCGTTGCAACTTTAGGTGTGTGTGTGTAGATAGATAGATAGATAGATAGATAGATAGATAGATAGATAGATAGAAAGAGACTCGACTGAAACCCGGACTCGCGGCGCATCCACACGCCGCGCAGCCGAGCCGGAGCTCGGCGGCCGCGAGAGGGCTCCCTCGGTGGAAGAAGCGGCTCGCCCTCCGCCTCCCTTGCTTCGCCCTCCTCCTCCGTCGCCGCCGAGGTTGGGCTTCCCAGGTTAGGCGCGAGGGCCGTTTCCTGCCACTCCTCCTCCGCTGCCAGCTCCGCAGCCCCAGCCGCTTGCTCGGCTTTGCAGCCCGGCAGGAGCACTCTGACTTGCAGAGTGACGGGGGAAGCGTTTGGACTGCCGGACGGATGCCTTTCATCTTTCCGTCCCGGTCTCCGCCGTGAGTACAACCCCGGCTCCAAACGGGCAAGAGATTCCCTTTATCATCTGAGGAAGGGAGAGATTCCGGCGCTTGGTCCTTTCTGCTCCGCTCTTTCCCCGCGAGGGGATGCAAGTCAGCCTCGTCTCCTCCTCTGGCCATTTGCGTTTGTTCTTCAGACAACCGGCTGCTCCCTCAGCTGGGTGCAAATAACGAGGAGGAGCAGGGCTTTAATGCCACCTTTAATGCCACCTGCTCCTGGGAGGCTTTCAATGCGGCCTTGGGGGTGCCTTTTGCCCATGAAGACTTGCTTTGGCTGGGTTTCCCCCACCACCACTTCTCTGGAGCTCTTAAATGGACAGAAGCTTTTCATGGGTCTGGAAAGGGGTCGCCTTCAATGTACGTGTGTTGGGGCAGAGACCCCTGAGAACTGCTGAGGTCCAGGCAGTCCAGGTTAGGAAGGCAGTTGGATGCAGAAGTGGCAGCCCTGCTAGAGGAAATGGCCAGTGGCATAAGAAAAAAATATGTATGAAAAACCAATAAAAGAGAGCGCGGGTGCGTGCTTGATGGAGCGGAATTTTGCCAATCTGCAATTTTTCTAACATCAACGGTAGTCCTTGACTTATGACCACAATTGAGGCCCCAAATCTCCATTGCTAAGCAAGGCAGTTGATCAAGTTGTCACATTTTTGCCAAAAATTGTTAAGCGGATCATGTGGTTGTGAAGCAAACCTGGCTCCCTCATTGACTTTGCTTGTTGGAAGCCGACTGCGAAGGTTACAAATGGTGATCGCATGATCCCAGGACAATTCAGTTGTCATAAAAATATGCCAGCTCCTGAGTACATTCCTACGGCACAGGTGTCAAACTCGTGGTGTGACATGATTGCCATCACGTGATGCTTTTCCCCTATGCAGAACTGGGGTGGGCCTGGCCTGTGCGTGACGCATCAAACCCGCGGGCCACCAGTTTGACACCCCTGTACTAGAGGAATGCTGCAATGGTTGTACGTGTAAAAAACTGGTCATAAGTCACTTTTTTCGGTGCTGTTATATAACTTAGAACCGTCACTAAACGAACGGTTGTAAGTCGATATTGCCTGCATTGTTTTTGACACAAAGACTTGTTTGGAATTTATGTGGCTATGTGATTTGTTGTTGTCGTTGTCGTCTTTGAACAGGTGAGGGAAATAACAGGTGTGACCTGGAAGAAGAGCTCTCGGTTTCATGATGCCTCCGAAAAGGTCCAGAGGGAAACTTCCTCAGATATCCACTCATAAAAGACGCCTGAAGAGTCGGTGGAAGTTGGAAGAACAGCAGAAGAGCCTCCTACTGAGAGAAGACGAGAAAGGGAAAGCAGGCGCCCCCAACAAAAGGGCCGGGAAGCGAAAGGGCACCACCGCCCCCCAGAGAAGTTACTCGGGGGAGAATCCTAACATCTGCACGGAGTGCGGGCAAACCTTTGCGCAAACTTGGGAGCTGGTGAGCCACCAGAGGATCCATGCCGGAGAAAAGCCCTATAAATGCGCCGACTGTGGGAAAGCCTTCAGCATCCGTTCCAACCTGAGCAGGCACCGGAGGATTCACACAAGGGAGAAGCCCTACCTTTGCTCGGAGTGTGGGAAAAGCTTCGCAGACAAGCCGTCTTTGGAGCAACACGTGCGAGCCCACTCGCGGGAGGCTCCCTTCCAGTGTATTGATTGTGGGAAAATGTTCAGCCAGAGTTCCCACGAGAAGAGGCCTCTGAAGAGCCCCCCCGGGAAACGGCAGAGCAGTTGCGCTGCCCCGGAGACTGCTGTGGTCTCCCCCAGCTCAGCTTCCGGACATGCTCAGAGACCCAGAGTTTCCAAGAAGCCGGACTCTTCCTTTGAAATCCCCCACACGTGTGCCGAATGCTGGCAGAGTTTCAACCAGACCTCGGACCTGGTCAAACACATGCGCATCCACACGGGCGAGAAGCCGTTTGAGTGCAGCCACTGTGGGAAGTGCTTCAACGTCAGCTCCAACCTCATCCGGCACAAGAGGATCCACACGGGAGAGAAACCTTACACCTGCTCCGTCTGCGGGAAGAGCTTCACCGACAAATCCACCCTCACCCAGCATAACCGCATCCACACAGGAGAGAAGCCGTACACCTGTAGTTACTGCGGGAAAAGCTTCAGTCGGAGCTCTCACCACAAAAGGCACCAGCGGATCCACGCGGGAGAAAATCCGGCCTCTCTCCTGCCTCTGTGGCCTTACCCTAACCAAATGTACTGAGAGCCCTTCCATTGGGCAGGGCAGGATTTCCATTAGGCATTTGCAGTGGATGGTTCAACCTGGGTGGTGCTGGGATCCAGGGCAGGAATGGTGTTTCGGATCTGATGTATGGGCCACGCTCATGCTACCTATCAGTGGCTCTTTAAAGAAAAGCGTCACACCGCAAGGCTTGGAAAAGATGTCATCGTTTCTTTAAGATATTGTTGACCGGCATGGCACAGCAGACCTAAAACACCTTTCCCATTTTAGATGGGAAGGCTATACAGGTAGTCTTGGTTTAGCGTCTACCTTGTTTAGTAACCATTTGCCGTTATGACAGGGATGAAAAAAAAAAATAACCAGTCAGGACCAATCTTTGCATTTACAACCTTTGCAAGTCAGTCAAGCAAAGGAAAACTGAAGAAAGATCACAAACACAGTGGTATTTCACAACCACATGGCTTAACAACGGAATTGCTGGTCACAATTGTGGTTGCTAAATTAACAGCCAGTGATGGCACAGTGGTTAAGGATGCAGCATTGTAGACTAGTTCTGCCAACTGCCAGGAGTTTGATCCCGACTGGCTCAAGGTTGACTCAGCCTTCCCTCCTTATGAGGTCAGTAAAATGAAGACCCAGATTGTAGGGGCCAGTAGGCTGGTTCTGTAAACCACTTGGAGAGGGCTGTAAAAGCAGTATAAAGCGATATATAAGTCTTAAGTGCTACTGCTAAACAAGGATCACCTGTACATTCTATTATTTACTCCAAGTGCATCTAAATGGCCCAAGGCAAACACTCACATTCCACGACAGATGAGAGAAAAAGGTTTGAATTTTCATCTGCCAAAGTCAAGACCATTTCCGTGAATGGGATTCCAGCTCTTTCACCAAAACTCTTTGTTTCTCTTTTGCAGGGATTCCTGTTCCATCTGGACTTTTCCTTCCAGAAATCTCTCTTGTTTTGTCGATGGCATCTCAAATATGCAGACAGATTTTGTAACTGTTAATAGAATATTATTGTAATTTAATAAACAGGTTTAATGCATGATGTTTATAGATCGAACTGGTGCTGTTGCACTGAGTATGTGATGGAGCCAGTTTGGTGTAGTAACTAAAGCACCATGCTAGAAACCAGATTGTGAATTCTAGTCCTGTCTGAGGCCAGTTGGCCGACTTTGGGCCAATCCCTCTCCCTCAGACCTCAGAGAAGGAGGTAAGGGCAAAATACTTCTGAAAAAACTTGCCAAAAAATCTCCAGGGATTTGTCTAGCCCAGAGGTCTCCAAACTTGGCAAGTTTAAGACTTGTGGACTTCAACTCCCAGAATTCTCCAGCCAACATGGCTGGTTGGAGAATTCTGGGAGTTGAAGTCCACAAGTCTTAAAGTTGCCAAGTTTGGGGACCCCCTTGTGATGACCCAGGTCATGGCAGAAAAGCAACAAAGTCACAAAAGTAGGTAAAGTCCCTTTAATACTTCTAACTTGGCCCCCATTGTCCAGTTATCATCGGCTGGAGAAAAAAGTCTCCCAAGAACAGTTTTTAAAGGGAAGAAATTCAGTCCAAACCCAAAGTACATATAAATTATAAATAAAAACCAACACAAACCACGCTGTAGTAATTAATGAGACAGGGCAGGATAAGGAATTAAAGACTTCACAAGATAACGAAACACACACAGTTGGAAGGACGCTAAAACCCAGATAAGACTTAACAAAGTCTTATCATGCTTTGCTTCTAGCAAGATGCTGTGTGCAAACGTGCTTTTTAAATCCTGTTTTCCCAGCTGCAGCTAATGAAGGGAATCAGGGCCCTTTTCTCCCCTGCAACCCACGTAACTCACGTTGCTCCCTTCTCCGTTCCTCCCTGTGTGCCCGAGGATGAAAAGGCCCTGGGTCTTTTTCTGAATGCCCAGCCAGACTGTGCCCTTCCCCAGTTTCTTCCACAGCCACTGGAGCCACACTCCCACCCCCTGTCAGCTGCTCAATCTCCCCCTCAGAATCAGATTCCAACAGGGGCATGACACCCCTGGTCTAGCCAATCTCCAGGAGTCAACAATGACTCAAAGGCATGCACACTTACACACACGCACATACACAGAGAACCTGAGTAGGCAAACCGCCTCTTGTTCTGGTGAATGTATTAACAGTGGGATCCTTGCTTGCCTTCCTCCCAAGCTTCTTTAGGATTTGTTGTCTGCTCTTAGAAGATGCTCCTGCAAATTGGTTGACTGAATGTTTTTTAGCCTGTCAAATTATAAGGGGGGGGGGGGGGGGAGAAGGCTCTGTTTTTTCTGGCAGCCAAAGGGAAAGTTTTCCAATAGGCATGGATCTCCATGATAGGACAGGAAGGATCAATAGCATTTAAGCAGCTGGAATTGTCCAAGTTGCTTAATTTGGTTCATCCATTCCAGAGACTGCAATTGTCCCAAAATGAAAGTCTTTGATTTCCTGAAACTGCAGAAATACAGGTAGTCTTGATTTACAACCACAATTGAGCCTAAAATCTTTGCTGCTAAGTGAAGTACGTGTTAAATGAGTTTTGCCTCCTTTCACTTTTTTTTTTTTGCCACTGTTGTTAAGTGAATCCCTGCAGTTGTTAGTAACAGGGTTGTTAAGCGAATCCAGCCCTGCACACTGCAACCATCATAAATAGGAGTCCGTTGCCAAGCATCCAAAATTTTGATCATGTGGCCAGGGGACTGGTGCAATGGTTGTGGGAAAAACAATCCGGATTCACTTTTTTCAGTGCCCTTGTAATTTTGAATGGTCAATAAATGAACTGTTGTAAGTCAAAGACTATATATGTAGATTTGGTGCATTTGCAAGCTCTAAATCAGTGGTCGCCAACTGGTGGGCCATGGACCACTGGTGGTCCGCGAGAAAATTTTGGTGGTCCGCAAGGAAATGTCCTCTCCAAAGCACACACACGCCCAAAGCAATTAATCCAGGCTGCGTGGGAACGCAAGGCTGCGCCGCCCACAGGGCCCACCCACCCGCTGGCCCTCACCCTTTGACCGAGCGCAAACCTTACCTTGAGTAGAGCCAGGCGAGCTGGAACTGGAAGGTAAGACCAACAGCGGGGAAGGGAAATCTGCCCTGGGATGGCTTCCTGATATTGGTGGGAAAAGTCTGTCCCATATTCCAGAGCTGCAGTTGTCACAGGACTGGTCCTTTGGTCATCCCGGAGCAGCTGCTACTCCACCTGGGCGCACCGGCCTGCCATGGATTGGAGGAGCTGCTCTGGTATGACCAAAGGGCCAGTCCTGTGACTACTCCAGCTCTGGAATATGGGACAGGCCCACGGTGGGGTTGGAAATCTCCGCCGTAGGGGGTGGCATGTGTAATGTGCAAATTTGCAGGTGGCGCAACTACAAATAGCAGCGCAGCCCTCGCCGGCCAGGATGAGGTAATGGTGCTGTTGTGGCATCTGGGGATTCATCTGGTACCACAACGGAGCTGCACCTTCATCCAGCACAGTGTTTCTCGACATTGGCAACTTTAAGATGTGTGACCTTCAACAAGCTGGCTGTGGAAATTCTGGTATTTCAGACGCACGCCATCTTAAAATTGCCAGTGTTGAGAAACTCTCCAACATATCTTTCCTGCCATCATAGAAACTTGTACAAATAGTCCTTGGCTCATGACCATTCGTTTAACAACCGGTTAGCCGGCAGCAGGTGCGGACGGCTGAGGAGAGTGAAAATTCAGATGAGGGGCCGGGATCATTAGGGATTGGACTAATGCTTTTGGAGATTGTGGGGGCTGGCAGCAGTGATGAGGAGGTTCCCGAGAAGCCTGTGCTAAGTGCGTGTGAGCTCAGGATTTCTCCTTTGGAAAGAGCAGTTACAACAGCATGGGCAACTCAGGAGTAAGGCTGCAAGGTAACGGCCCCTCCTTCAAGCAGATAAAAGCCAGATATGAAACTAACCTTCTTTGCAGAAGGCAAAAATATTTTGAAACCCCAGCCTCACGGACATTCCAGTATCCTGAGTTTGTATTTGAAGATTCATATTTTGCAAATTATTTCTTGTCTATTCTCTTTTGGCAAGTCTCGCACAGTTTGGCAAGGCTTGTGCTTATCACAGCTAATTATTTTGTAAAAGCATTACAAGGTTCTGTTCCTTTTGGATTGTGTTTGATTTGTTGAAAAAGGGCATGGGTCAAAACACAACCCAAGTTATGACAGCATTGAAAAAAGTAGCTAACGACATGTCCTTGTACCATCACAGCATCCGTGTGGTCCTATGTTTGTGATTTGAGTGCTTGGCAACCAGCACGTATGTATAATAATTGTAGCATCTACCCTCTTTCCAGATGCCCTTTGGCAAGCAAAGTCAGGGTGTGTGTGATTTGCTTAATGATCATGGTGATTCACTTAATGACCACATCAGCATTCCAGAAAAACTCAGCTCCAAACAAAAACTCCATGACTGGCATTTTCTCAAAAGTTCTTTTTATTAGAGTAGGTATACTGGCACATCTGGGGAAAACACGGACCTGAGAGTTTCAGGTTTTCCCTCAGTCATTCAAAAAGACAAACGCAACCCTTGCACCCATCAATCCATCACATGATCCAATCACCTTCCGTTCCAACCTGAGACGTCCCTTCAACTACGCCTCTTCCAGGTGCAGGAACAACATGACCTTGACCAATAAGAAGAATGATATTATATCTAAAACTATGCTCTAACGCTCTCTTAAATCCCTAATTCCCAAGCTCAAGAATGTGGCAGCGTGGAAGCTTCTGATTCTAATATGGCTTCCAAAGCTGACAGGCCACGGCAAAAGATTGTAAAATCAGGTGCAACTCACTTAACAGCCATTAATGATGGAAGTTCCAGTCCCAATTATTGTTGTAAGTTGAGGTCTACCTACAACGCTGAATAGGTCAAGAGTCTGGGAGGAGCTTTTGTTGACGAACAAATTTTATCAAGTGACATTAGCTTTTGTGAACTTACAGCTTTTAATAAAATTTGTTAACCAAATTTTATTAGCACATGTAGTCCTCGATTTAACAATTGAGCCTCAAATTTATGTTGCTATAAGTGAAACATTTGTTAAGTGAATTTTGCCCCATTTTACGATTTTTCTTGCCACAGTTGTTCAGTTGAATCTCTGCACCTTTTAAGTTAATAACACGGTTGTTAAGGAATCTGGCTTCCCCGGTGACTTTGCCCGTCAGAAGGTTGTCAAACGTGATCACATGACTGCAGGAGGCTGCAACCGTCATAAATATGAGTCAGTTCCCAAGCATCTGAATTTTGATCACATGACCATGGGGGATGCTACAATGATCCTGTGCAAAAAATGATCCTAAGTCTTTTTTTTTTCAAGCTGTTGTAACTTCAAATGGTTATTAAATGATTGCAAGTTGAGGACTACCCGTGCTTATTGCAACAATTTGTATGCTGTTCGTTCATTAGATTGTGGCTTTTGAAGGCAGCCACCCCTGTAATGTCCAGTCGCTTTTTAAGTGGTCTTTTGAGTCACACACGCTTATTTCTCACGTAAAAGAGCATGGAAGCTCTCTTTTCTATCAAGTAAAATATTTAGAAAACAGGAGTAAAGGAGCCATGACAGCAAGAAGATCAACAGCAGAGCAATGGGGGAGTTGGCCCAGGATATTTATTTTATTTTCAGTATGATTGTTAAACTGTCAACGGGGCTATAAGAGCTTCTGGTGAAGAAACAGCGCCTGATTCAACACAAAAGTGTTGGCTGCCAAGCCTTATCTTACCGCTTTAACAGGAGGTGCTGTTTGGGAATAAGAAACATCCCAAAGATGTTTTTTCAAGAGGCAGTTGGAATTTCTGGTTTTTCTTTGAAGATGTTTTGCTTCTCATCCAAGAAGCTTCTTCGGCTCTGACTGGACAGTGGGGAATGGAAGGATCCAGTCAGAGCCGAAGAAGCTTCTTGGATGAGAAGTGAAACATTTTCAAAGAAAAACCAGAAAGTCCAGTTGCCTCTTGAAAATCACCTTTGGGACAACCATGGCCTGGATGATTGACTGAGAATCTCCATAGTCAAGGGACTGTGCACAGAAAACCTAAGTACTGCAATGGGCTGGTCTGTGTTG